TCGCGGAGACGTTTAAGTACGCTGATATCTGCTGGACTTATATATTCATCATCCGCCCATTCCAAAGCTTTATTACAAATGTTGATTGCTTCACTAGGCTCTATTCTTGTATGTGGTCTTTCCAGATTACTATCCTCGCTTTATTCAGTCCATTCATTGATATCAGCAATTGAAAAACTAACCTGCAAATACACAATTTAAATCAAATGAGTTATTGGATGGAAAAAAAGGTTCAAACCTCTGGATTAATTGAATGAAGCAGTTCTATTGCGTGTTCTTGTTGTCAGTTAATTGGTAAAGAAATCCTTTCTCTTAAAGTACCTAATGGAATATCCTCATCACAGTCTTTTTCATTTCCTATAGAGCTTAAAATGTGCGTCTAGCACTATGCTATTGTTTCCTTTTCAAGACGTTTCCAAGCTAAATCTAAATAGCCAATAGCGTCTCTTAACGTCAATTTCTTTAGGGCTTCAATAACATCAGTCCCTGTGGCTACAGTTGATGCCAAAAGACTGTTTCTGTAGAAAAGTTTTGTAAGTCGTATGGCATTTTGATCCAATGGCTGTATGAGTGGAGTGACATTAGGTGGCATAAACATTACAATTAACTCGTCATCTGATCTCAATTCATTTTCGGGAGGATGAGATGGAGCATTGTCTATCAACAGCAGAGCTTTATTGGGCAATCCTTGATCTTTTAAAAATTTCCTGACCTACAGTAATAAGAAATACACTGTGGTACAAACGAATGGTGAAACCAATGTTTAAAAATGGCAGCCGTCAACCATGACGACTTGAAGCAATTGTAGTCAACAGGAGAATCAAAATTTTTTAAAAGAGCGAGAATTTTTTGCCTTTCCAATAACAATAAGTTTAACTTTTATGCACCCCTGTTGCGTTTGTACAAGCAGGAGCATTTTTTTCTTGTGAGGATACGTATGTTCTGTCAGGTAGCAGCTTCCAAAATAGTCCCGACAGACCTAGCTCTTTGATTTTGGCTTGCAGCTAATTTTTGAAAGGGTCCACAAGTTCAGGTCTAGAAGATAACTTTTCTCCACTTATTTTAATAAAAACGCACACCATAACGCTTCTTAAAGCGTTGCAACCATCCATCACTCGCATTAAAATCGATTTGAGTTTCTTTAATTTTTGAATGAAAAAATTTAGCTTTTTCTTTAACTATCAATCCATTGACAGGGTAATTTTTTTGTCGCTGTTTAAGGAACCAACGGTAAAGCGCTTTTTCCATTTTAGGAAGTTCAGAACTCTTGAAAGTCTTCCGCTTTCCAGGCCCAGAAAATGTACTGTTAACACATTTTAAAATTTTCTCTTTTCTTTTGTTGATAGCGCAAATTGTTGATTTTGCAACACTGTACTGGTTTGCTAAGCTGGTTACGCTTGATCCTCCTTTTAATTTTTCTATTACATCAACTTTTTCCTTTAAAGAGACAAGTATTTTGGTCGTTTTTGCGACGTTTTTCACGAATAACTTTACATTAGATCATGCAAAGTCAGCAACGCGCACCAATTTTAATGCCAACCCAACCGAATCCATCCCAGTATACTCATAAGCAATAATTTACGGGTATTCCCCGTTTTATAAAAATGATTCCCATAATTAGTATACATATGTATGCATGTAGAAAAGAAAATAATGTTTTAAATGCATTTTAAATTTGTTCACGTTATGGGACTTTCTCACCGTGTTCACGCTACCGAGTAGTCAGTGTACAAAAATTATGTTCATGTTAGCCGGTGTTCACACAAGACGGTGTTTTTGTTACCGCGAGTCTACTGTAGCTAAATTTAACGATTAATATTATGTTCTTGCAAGGAAACCTTTTTTATCTGACAAGATATCTGTACGAATTTTTTCTAGAATTGTCGTCTAAGACAATGCTGTAATCTACGAACAAACTGTTCGTATCGCACTACCATATCATACAGCTGCCAAAAAAACTTATCAATATCCTTACAATCAAAGTTATAACTTTTCTTGTTTTAAATAATTTTCGATCTAAATTTCATATAGACTCTTAATAAAGCATCTTTAAGATGAAAAATTTATTATGAAAATATATACAAACAAGTGAACACATAAAATGTATATACATTAAAAGTATGCATTAATATTAACTCATACTTAATATACAAGGCACACGCTGAAGTTAATTAACTTATTGTATATGTATATCTATTTTTTTGACTAAGCAATGAAATAATTGCGCAGTAAAGCAGAAAACCAGTAATTTGCAGTAGCGAATGAACTGTGTACAAACACAAGGAAAAATAAATACATGAAATATAAAGCGTATGAAGAAATGCATTTCCTAACTTCTATTAAACTAATTATATCTGCAACGCAAACTTTTCACCTCCCTACCCGCTAAAACAGCGAGTAATTGAATACTCACCTTGAAATCGAATCAGCTGGCATATTTGCGTTGTTTGTTATTGTTTACTGGGTTGTCTTTTTTTTCAATATATTTTCTGTTTTTTGTTATTGTTTATTGTTGATGTTACCCCACACTTGGAATTAGTAAATGCAGCAACTTTTCATGCAATTCCGCGTCGAACACAAAGACAATTTTTTGCCTTCTGATTATTTAAGTGGTTTTACCTAACCTGGTTTATTGCTTTCTTGCAGTGGATGTACAAAGGCAGGCTTCAAATTGAACGTTTGACTGATGATTTCTTTGTTTGCAATTCCTTATTTGAAAGTAGGAATACACACATCAATACTTGCTCTTCTGGTCACAGTTTCCTTTGTCTGCACAGCAGCTATGCTTTTGTGATACCGACTTTCAATTCAGTCACGTGTATTTTAAATTATTTTTAACGCTCTTTTCTTTATTTTCGCAAGCTGTAATTGAGGTTGAAAAGCTTGTGTAATCAAGATTTGAATTTTTAATTACTGCGCTACTGATTTTAAAAATTTGGAAGTTAGTAGAATATAATTAGCATCAAATATTCAAAATACATGATTTTTAGTTTTTTAGTGATGTTTATAAAGGACCAATATCACAACAACTTTTAATCAAATTCTGAGAATTTCAAGATATGACTAGGAGTGGTTATTTATTTATTTTTAAATCTTGAAAAAATTTTACAATCCTTTCTATGTTACGCAATGTTCCCAGTCAAAAAATAAACATATACATATGTAAATCATTACATGCGTCAGTTTTCAAAACTTATGTGCAATGTTGTATATACATATGTACATAGTCTAGCCATAATTTCTGTTACAATGCATAGAGCGAGAACAAATTCTCAGTATGCAGTGTCTAATTATAAGTAATTATATATCACACAAGGTCAAAAGCCCCCAGCATTATTCCGGTTTTCATTGCTGTAGATGATTGGCCTTTTGGAAGATCTGATTTGAAATCATTAGGTTACTTTGTGGTCAGAGTTGGAGAACATGGCCCGTCAAATTCCATTTATTAATTGATTTATCAAAAAAAAAATATAGCTTTAGTATATAATATATTATAGTTTCTTTTCTATAACGACCGGCGCTTGTAACAGGACTTATGGTCTCATTTACTCCAGTCGAAAATAAGTATTAAGCTAACCCCATGTCAATTATAATATTGTAAGTTTTGATAAAAATATTCAGATGCTAGCAAACGTATGTACATATATAATACGACCTAATTATTTCTTTAAAACTTCCATTTTTTACTTTCAAAATAACTTTGAAGGTCATTGTTCAAAAATAAACTCAAATCTCGCCCAATTTCCAATATTTTTAAGAGACTCACCTAGCTTCTCTATATATAATAATTTTATATTAATTTCAAGCATTGCACAACAGTCAGTGTCTATGATTTTTAATAGCATACCTCGTCGAATGGGCTTTATCAAAAAAATAACTGAGGAAATAAACAAAACCAACGACAAAGCAGCAAATGAAAACAAAAATCGTGAAAATACAATAGGAAACTATACAAATTGTGTATACGCATGTAGAGAGGTATGTGTGTCTTTTGTAATACATACATATGTACATACATAATATAATGAAAGGTGGAAAGCGTATGGGTGGAACGTAAGGTGGTTGTTTGGGAAACTGTAACAAGGACGGATAAATATACAAATTATTGGCATACATACACACGCAGCTAATACTAGTAAGTTAACAACTACAAGATAGAAAAGACCTGAGAAAAAGATGCAAATGGCAATGTTTATGTGCATAAACACATTTTCCAAAATATGAGTAAATTTTTAAAATTTTGTATGATAAGCTTTAGTATAAAAATTAGGAAGAAAAACTTTAACATTACATTATAACATGTAAAATTTTCATAAAAACTTACCCAGCACGATTCCTTCGTCAAAATTTAAATTTTTATATGTAGCAGACAAAGTATTCTTTCAACTTTGCATTTGATTTCCGATGGTAGTTTTTTAAATAAAACGCAGTAAGCGTGTACTCTGACGAAAATAAAATTACTACTAAACTTATATTGCTTTTGTTGTTGCTGAATTGTTCACCAAATTGGTTTTACTTTTTTAATACACAAATTTTCTTTGTTTTTATTGGATATATTAGTCACAATTTAGTTAAGTTTTGCTGAATAAATGACAGTTTACTCGTCTTGACTCTGAAAGCGTCCACAATGTTCGAGAAGAAAAAATAGATTGAACAGAAAATTGTAATAATCCAACGAGCAAAACATGGCAGAAATGTCATCGAGTTTTGTTTTGTTATACTTCATTTGTTTTGTTTTGATTAGGTGAAGGGTGCCATATGTTTTTTTTTTGTTCAACCAACTTTGCCATATTTCAGTAGATTAAACGAAAAATCTTAGCTATAATGTTATGTTCGAGATTCGAATTCTCGGACATATATATGTACAATCAATATTTTATAAGAAATATAGAAATATAACTTTACCTAGCTGGAAATTCTCTGGCATTCCTCTTTCTGATCGCACTCCGCTTTGTTTTTTTTTATGACTTTAGTTTTCCAGTTTCTTTTGTTTTGGTTTTGTTAGTTTTCCAAAATAAATTTCTCGCTGAGATAAGGCAATAACCTGGGAGTAAACAATGTTAGTGATAAAGAGGGGCAGTGCAGTTGTATTTCTAGACAAAGCGGTGAAATTCCTCTTAGTGCATCGTTCGTTGATTTTTTGCTCCAAAGTCAGTAAATAAGAAAAATTATCAAGGATCTTTGAAAGTACAACTTGTTTAATAAGTATACACATATTTTTTACAGACAACAAAGTACATCTTTAGAAATGTCCCCACCAATGCTTTTAGTGCATGGAGGAGCTGGGGATATAGGTGATGCGCGTATTCTCGGCAAAGTGCAAGGCATGAAGTTGGCTTTGAAAGTTGGTTTGCCATTGTTGATGCCTGCGATGGAATGTGGCGGCGACGAAAGAGGTTCTGCGCTAGATGCCGTCGAGGCAGCTGTGCGTGCAATGGAAGAGGATGAAAATTTCAATGCTGGCTATGGAGCTTGCCTTAATAGCGATGGCAATGTAGAAGTGGAAGCTAGCATTATGGAAGGTTCAAAGTTGCGTGCTGGTTGTGTTACCTTACTGCAGGACATCAAATACCCTATCACTGTGGCACGACATGTCATGGAAAGAACTAATCATACATTTTTGGGCGGTGTTAGTGCGCAAAAATTCGCTTTAGAAAATGGTGCTGTACAATTGCCACAAGGTTCATTGGTGACACAAAGTGCCCGTGATGCATTAGCACAATTTAAGAAGCAACAAGCGGAGGGTAAAGACACCACATACGCAAGAACGGAGTTAGATACAGCGGTTAAAGAACGTCCGGGTGAGCCAGGCACAGTGGGCGCCGTAGCCATCGATGCTAAAGGCAATATTGCTGTTGCTACATCAACAGGTGGTATAACCGGTAAAGTGCCTGGACGTATAGGTGATACACCACTGCTTGGTTGTGGCACTTACGCCGATAATAATTGGGGCGGCGTTTCCACTACTGGTCATGGCGAGACAATAATGCGCTTTAATTTGGCACAAAAAATTCTAGCCAATATTCGTTACGAAAATATGTCAGCACAAGCAGCCACCGAGGTGGCATGCAAAGAGATGACTGAGCGCTTAGGTGGGACTGGTGGTGCTATAACTATTGGGCCACAAGGTGATATTGGCGTTGCATGGACGTCAAGGCGTATGGCGTGGGCTTATGTGCGTGATAACGAATTTATTTATGGCATAGATCAGGGAAAAATACTAAGCGAGACATTTGAATAATTGTAAATAAGAAAAGCTTATCGCTAACGAGATAAAGACCGAAAACGAGAACATGTAACAATTTTCGTATGGTTTCTTCCGTAACTGCATTTACACGATTTATGTACTTTTATACCAAATTTTTAATGAATTGTCTGTAATAAAATAAAGACTATCGGGTGATTTTTTAAGAGCTTGATAACTTTTTTAAAAAAAAAAACGCATAAAATTTGCAAAATCTCATCGGTTCTTTATTTGAAACGTTAGATTGGTTCATGACATTTACTTTTTGAAGATAATTTCATTTAAATGTTGACCGCGGCTGCGTCTTAGGTGGTCCATTCGGAAAGTCCAATTTTGGGCAACTTTTTCGAGCATTTCGGCCGGAATAGCCCGAATTTCTTCGGAAATGTTGTCTTCCAAAGCTGGAATAGTTGCTGGCTTATTTCTGTAGACTTTAGACTTGACGTAGCCCCACAAAAAATAGTCTAAAGGCGTTAAATCGCATGATCTTGGTGGCCAACTTACGGGTCCATTTCTTGAGATGAATTGTTCTCCGAAGTTTTCCCTCAAAATGGCCATAGAATCGCGAGCTGTGTGGCATGTAGCGCCATCTTGTTGAAACCACATGTCAACCAAGTTCAGTTCTTCCATTTTTGGCAACAAAAAGTTTGTTAGCATCGAACGATAGCGATCGCCATTCACCGTAACGTTGCGTCCAACGGCATCTTTGAAAAAATACGGTCCAATGATTCCACCAGCGTATAAACCACACCAAACAGTGCATTTTTCGGGATGCATGGGCAGTTCTTGAACGGCTTCTGGTTGCTCTTCACCCCAAATGCGGCAATTTTGCTTATTTACGTAGCCATTCAACCAGAAATGAGCCTCATCGCTGAACAGACCATAAATCGGACGTAAAGCGCGAAACACATTTCGAACCGAACACTGATTTTGGTAATAAAATTCAATGATTTGCAAGCGTTGCTCGTTATTAAGTCTATTCATGATGAAATGTCAAAGCATACTGAGCATCTTTCTCTTTGACACCATGTCTGATATCCCACGTGATCTGTCAAATACTAATGCATGAAAATCCTAACCTCAAAAAAATCACCCGATATAATAAGATTGCAAAAAAATATATTTTTTATAAGCATATTTATAAAAAATTGTATGTTATTAATTTTTTTACCCTGTGCTAACCTATAAAAATGTCTGTAACACAGGCAGCAAAATTTTATTGCAGCCTAAAAGTATGCAATGTTTTCAGTACTTGCATGTTGTTTTTAAATATATGCATATAATGTTATGAAATTTTAAATTGCATTTTATTAAATAATTAAAAATTAAGGTTTTCATTTAGCAATAATGAAATTTAGCTCCCAGTATTAACATTCTTCTCCTTGTTCAATTCTCCTTTTTCACTCTATCACTTTTTGTCATCGCTCTCTTAAACAACCACCTATGCAGTTGCCTGCTATTCTTCTATGTTTGTTTGCTTTGCAATGATCGCTGCCTATTGCATGCATGGCAGAAGCAGCTGAGCAACGAGAAATTGAATGCAATTATTTTTGCTTAGAACAAAGTTTTTCTTTTTCTTTTTCTTTGTAAATGCCAATAAAAATTAAAATTTGTATTTTTCTTCATTATATTAAAATTTAACAGTAATCCGTTCAGTACAATATATTTAAAAAGTCTCTTACACCCATGCACACTTTCGACCCACTGTGCGCTACCGATGTCGCAAACGAAAGAACAGCACCATTTCTCCAGCCGATGGTGTCTGCTTCGTTCAGTCTAAAATGTATTGGCGATACGAACGTGTGTTAAACGGTAATATTCTGATGCGTTGCAGTTAACTTGATCTCAATTTTTTGTACGTTTGCGATCGCCGGAATTCGCTTGAAAGAAAGTCAAACAAAACAAAACAAATTCGAAGAAAATTCATTCGAAAAGTGCATTGCCCAAAAGTGTGAAAATAAATATAAATGTAGCATTAAAAGCTGCTAAATTCCAATAAAGTTATTATATGAAAAGTGAATTGTGAAGGAATGTTGTGTGCTAGCATCAATATATGATGAATGAGAATTAACAAGTGTGTGAAAAGTTGAATAAAGTGAGGCTGAGGCTGTGGGCATTAAAAATTAACACGAGCTTGTGAATTAACCACGATTGTGGGAATTTATTTGTGCAACGGGACGTGCTTATTGTGACGTACGTTTGTATGTGTTCAAATCAAAAACATATTTACAAATTTTGCCACCATATTTTGCAAGAAATGACCCGGTGTATTTTAAATGGTTTAATATCGAGTGAATTGATGTGGCGCTGATAAAGCTGGTAATGTTTATAATTTTAACAGAAAATTTTAGTTTATGAATATGTACATCAGCGCGTTGTGTACGTGGAGTGTGTCCAAAAAAATACCTGTCAAGTCGACTTAACAGAAACTCCTGTTTCTACATTTTGTGGTTGCGGGGCTTGTGCGTCCACCTTTTTTGTACAAATACATATCTACATAAACGCATACATTAAAGAAGATTTAGATTGTCTACATTTCCCCTCTTATGTACGCTTGTTTGCGTTGACGTTCTAGTTATTCGCTCGAGCTGCAACCTAACACAAAAAGAAACAACAATAAAGACCGTCATGGTTGCCAAGCTTCTGTTTTTCATTAGCGGGGTAATGCTGACGGAGCTATATATTTAAAAACACTTACTTAGATATCATATATGTATAAAAAGTATAAACCCTTAAGGGATTGTATCCACTTGCAAGGAAGAAAAAAACGTTTTTTCGTGACTTTATTTTGAAGATACATTTGATTTAATTTATAGATAGGAACAATACTCATTTATAGGGTATTCATTTTGAAGAAATTTTAATTAGGATTCCCTTGATCTCGGAGACGATCTCAAGGAGGACTACTGAAAAAAGGTGTCGTCTGGTTGTAGGAAAAAATTGTTGTAACAATAGACGAGTCCAGTTTACGATCGAAGGATTGGTAACAATTTTGATTTGACAAAAAATTTCCACCTTACCGTTCAGAGTTAGACGTTACAAAGAAGGTTCAAATTTGTATATAAAATTTTATTCTTTTGGTCGTTACCTGTCAAATATTTGGGCGAGAATTTCAAGTGGATTGATTCTGCTCTTTAGGAGAAATTTTTCTTGCCAATTTAAAAGCCAACGATTAAATAAAAAACGCGTTTAAAGTTCGAGGAGCCGATTATACTAAATTAAAACATTTTTACAAATACGCAATTGCGTTTGACGGATCAACTTTAAATTTTCGGAGAATTTTTTGAAATACAAACATATGTATACCTATATAATATNAAATTTTCGGAGAATTTTTTGAAATACAAACATATGAAAAAAAAAATAAACACATAAAAAAAAAAAAAAAAAAAAAAAAAAAAAAAATAGTTAGATCTTTTGAAATTCTCGAGTTGACATTACCCCTTCAGCCAAGTTCAAAGTTACAATAACCCAGTTCTTTTCCAATGCAAACTGCTTGAAATATTATTTGGCAACCCTAATTACTAGCGTAAATTGGGATGCGATCAGTGCGCGCTATAGCGAAGCCAACGATAAACATGATAATAGTGGAACCTGAATAAAAATGAACAAAATAAACACAAACATAAAGCGGCAAAGTACCGAAATGCCGGGAAACCGGTTTCGCAGCTCCACGAAGTTAAAACGCACTGCAGCGCAGAGTCAGAGACCAGATTTCGCAGTAAAAGCAACACATGAATGATGAGATGCTGTTTATCGAGCTGAATGTGGGCAGTGGGAATGCGGGTGGAACGTCTGTAACCTATAGCTTTCACGCAAAATTCTCTTCCTGACGGTTATTTTTTACGTACGGTTATAATTTGAAGAAATCAAACTATTTCTGGTTTTGCAAAATTTCGAACTCAGTTGAAGTTTTTGTCACTATTGAAGTTCACTCAAAAGTTATGCTAAACAAGAAGTCTGGTTGGATAGTAGAACCTGAGAATAATGGTAACATTCGCCCTTTAGATAAACTTTGCGCTGTGTCGACCTTTCTGCAGAAAACTTTTCACTGAAAGGCGAACATTTTTTTCATTGTGTACCGATAAATCTTTTGGATGTGTTGTCTAAAGTCATCCTACGCTTCATCCGACAATGTTCGATCAATGTGTCTAAATTGTTAGCGGCATGCAAAGAGTCTATCTCACCATACTAGCCACTTCTCCGCATAGATATCCGACTAATCGAAACAGCTCGATTCTTGGGCTTCCGTTAAATTCCGTTAAGCCATTAAAGAGTTTTGGACGAGCATGTTTTTTTTTTAACTTACCGATCTAAACAGGGTTAAGTCGGTCCAATTACGGCAATGGACGAGTAAAAGCGATTGTGGGGAAAGCTTTAACATGTTTTCTTCTTTTGAATTGATAGTTACTACGGTTTTGGGTTATTACGATCTAGAAATATCTCTTCTATCCCGTTATATTCAGTCATTATTATGTTTCTCTACTGAAGTATTAGTTATATTAAACTAAATATTAACTTCAGCGCCCGTTCAATAAATATACGAAAGTTGACGATATGATTATGGGAGACATCGGTGTTGATCCGATAACCAGACTTGGCACCCGAATAATTATATATATCCTGAATTATTGAGAAGAAGAAAGAAACGACGATTAGTCCAAGTCGATCTGTTTCATTTCCCTCCATGTATACGACCTCGATCCTCAATTTATGAGATATCGATATGGAATTTTAAACATGTCCATTTAGCTCTAAAAAGCTTTTAATTTGTCAGATCGTCATAGACAGAACTAGTAAATGACTTAAATGACTTTGTAAAAGACAAAAATTTAGAATTCGTACATTTACTCACAAATACGAGTATGTATCTAGACATGATCGTCGTTCTAAAATATCAACAATAACCAATCAATTTATCGAGCGCTTTTACAAATACCAAAACGAGTTCCATCATACAAACTCAAACTCCACGCTGCGTGTCACTTCATTAGCTTTCAATTCAATTCACTAACATTTGAAGTGATTCTCATAACGTCACTTCCTCCCGCAGGCGGTATTGAACCGTGACGTGCCAATGGTGTGGTGTGACATGGGCCGGCAAGACAAGCCCGCATGCTATAACCTTAAAACCTGCAAAACATGCCTGTA